TATAAGTCTTTGTTTTACTATGGTTGCAAATACCAAAAAATTTCTATATGTGACACGGCACCAGAGTTAAGTTAGGGTTTTTCAAAATGCTGACACGCCGAACTCAGAAGGTTCGCCATCACTGTACTAGAACATTCTATTCTTCCGCCAGCGGCCAGCCCCATGAGAGCTGCCAGTGGCTGACCATCCCATTCACCGCTGAACCTCCAGTGCCTGGCACGTGACAGGTGCCCATAGGTGTCAGGAAAATGAATGAAGGTGCACACAGGAAATATAGGGTCACCCCTGCCTGGCATGTGGCACTTAGGTGGAAATCAGGGTGATCTTAGGGTGACAGAGCCACAGGAAGACCTACAGGCAGACTGAAGGAGATGATGCTTGAGGGTAGAGGTGACATCTAGAACTTTCCTTCAGACATCACCTCCTCCAGGCAGCCTTCCCGACTCTCACAGCCCTAGAGCTCCCTCCTCTCCTGCCAGGGGAGAGAGTGAAGGGAGCAGAGGTGGGAGCAGGACGAGGGTAGAAACGGAGGATGCGCCTAGTTCCTTCTGGTTCCAGCTTCTCCCTGGGCATCTCCTCCACTTGTCCTGCACACCGGACAGAACCACTCTCTCTTCCTCACTTCCACTGCTGGACCAGCCACGCCACCCTCCAGCCCCACCCCAGCCCCAGCATCCTCATGGGCTGTCACCAAGGGGCCTTGCCGCATCAGGCCCCAGCTATGTGTCCACAGCCTGTGGGTTTCAGGGCTGCCGGCGGGACCACTGTCACTCAGAGGCTCAGCTTGGGTCTCTTGCTCCACCGGGTGGGAGGGAGGCGGATGGGCCAGAGAAGGCAGGCAGGCCTGGCCTGACTACGTGTGACTGGGTGACGGCGGGAGAGAGGTGCGGGGAGCGGAGAGCGTCACCGTGGGGTCACCCATACAGCCATTGCGATGGCTGTGAAGAGAGTGACAAAGGCTTCTGTCTTTCCAAGAAAGTCCAGATCCAGGGAAAGGAGTGGCTGCCAGGCCCTCAGAGCATCACTGCCCACTGCTAGGGAGCGGAGCTGACCCACACTCTCCTTTCCCAGCAGCTCTGCGGGCCAGGGATGGCATCCGAGGGGCCCAGGGAGGAGCAGGGCCGGCCCGCTCTGGCCAGCGTTTGCAGACTGCCCGGCTGGATGAGGAAGACTGGCTCCCCTCTTACTCCAGGGAGAGTGCCTTTGTCCGGTACCTCTCTGAGCCTCCATTTGCCTCCCTGTAAAATGGGAATAGCTAGAGCCCCTCAAAGGGGTTCGGAGGATTTGAAATAGGCAACCAGAGCTTGGCAAGGTCAACACTTCTCTCCCGCCAAAGCTCCAGGATGCCGGCGACTGAACTAACACCAAAAAGGTGGTTGACTTGCTCAATGGACAGACTGAATGATTAACCAGCCCAAGGGAGAGTTTAAGTTCAGCCTCTTCTCCAAACGGAGCCTCGTGCTGAGGGAGGGGCGAAATGTAAGACAGGGAAGAGCTCCTCCTCCTCGACCCTCCCCGCTCCTCCCCCCAGGAATCCTGCCCCCCCCCACCCCCACCCCACGTGTTTACACTTTTTCCCCCTTACAAAATCCAGAAGAAGGCTGATGGAGTCCGGAGAAAAGGCCCACGTGGTTATTAGCAATAAGACAGACCTGGGTCTTCTAAGCTCAGCTTTGCCACTGCCTAACTGTGTGAGCTGGGGCAAGTGCCTTAACCTCTCTGTGCCTCAGTCTCTTCATCTGTAAAATGGAGCCAGGCCCCTGACCGTGCAGGATTGCAACTAGAAAGGAATGGGTCGTGCACACAGCCGGAGTTTAGCCAACGTGGGTTCCCACGCTGAGCCGGGCCCACTCGTGCTCATCGGAATTGCCGATGCTCTCTGCCAGGGACGGCCCCACAATCGATCATAAGGCACATTCCTTCCTTTGCTGTTTCGTTTCCTTATTGTACACAATGGCATGCGGGTGGACTGGGTGCCCATAGGTGTTATCTAAGCCATGGATGGGGAGGCACCACATGTGGGAGGAAGAAGGCAGGACTTTGAAGCTAAATAAACCTGGATTTCAATCCTCGTCTGCCAACTGGATGAGCCGTGTGAGCTGTGGCTTCCTTACCTGTGAGGTGGAGACGATAACCCCTACCTTGCAAGGCCGTTGCACGAATTAAATGCACTCATTCATTCAACAAAGGTTTCCTGGCATCCACTGTATACTAGCCACTGGTCCAGGTGCTGACCATACAGCAGTGAACAAATAGACAAAACCCTCCCTCTTTAGACAATAAACAGCCGACTACACACACAGCCGGCACGTGGTGACCCAGGTTAAGGAGAAATTCGAAGAGGGTGGAGGGAGGGGGGAGTGCTGGGGACAGGGCCCCTGATGGAAGCAAGGGGAGGGGGGCGCCATGGGGGGGGTGGTAGAAGAAGGTTCCAGGCAGAGGGTTCAGCAAGTGCAGGAGCCTTAAGGAGACGCGTGCCTGGCATGTAAATGAAGCCACATATGCAGGAAGCCTGGCACAGCATCCAGGTGCTCGGCAAATGCCAGCTCTCTATTTCAGGACCCGAGGAAGAAACCCCACGCATGTCCTTTCCCTGAGAATGAAACAAGGATTTCTACAGGGCAGGGCTGAGCCAAGTGTTCTTTCAGATGCAGGCGACACAGCTCCACTGCCGGTTTCTGAGCCCCTGCCAGGCACCAGGTTCTGAGCTGGGCAACCAGAGATACAAGATGATCCAGACCTGGTCTCCAACCTCACACACCCCAAGGCGAGTCGTGGAGGTGGGTGACCGCCACGTGGCGCGGGCAGACGTACCAGCAGAGACCTAAGAAGGGATCTAGGTAGCAGACCGCAGGATGGGATCGGGTGTGGGTGGTCAGGAAAGGCTCCCCGGAGGAGGTGGCAACTAAGCTGGATTTATTTTTTATTTTTTATTTTTATTGATTTCAGAGAGGAAAGGAGAGGGAGAGAGAGACAGAAACATCAATGAAGAGAGAGAAGCATTGATTGGCTGCCTCTTGCACGCCCTCCACTGGGGACTGAGCCTGCAACCTGGGCATGTGTCCTTGACCGGAATCGAACCCGGGACCCTTCAGTCCACAGGCCGATGCTCTAGCCACTGAGCCAAACCAGCTAGGGCTAGGCTGGGTTTTGAAAGTCGGACTAGGTGAGAAAGGACAGTCCAGGGGTGGGGAGCATCACAGACTGAAACGGCACAGTGTATGTGAGAAATGAACCGCAGGCAGGTCGTTGTGGCTCAGGAGACACTTAGCTACTGCAGCGGGTGAGCCGCCTAACCCCCAGCTCCCAGCCCTGCCCAGCCCAGCGTGGCCCAGGCCAGAGCCAGGCCCAGTGGACTGAGACCACAGAAACCTCCAGCTATATTTAGCTCACCTCGCAGCCTCTGTGCCTTCGCTCACCCCAACCTGACCCACAGGTGGCAGAATGGCTTTTTTACTAGAACAGCATGCACGTTTCTTAGTTAAGAAATCCTGAAAAGGGGCCCGTGCCTCCACGCCGTGTCTTCCTGGCTGGGAGGTGCTGCCGTATTTGCCATCACCCCGGACACCTCTGATTGGGTGGGTGGATTTCCTCCCCAGGGGGCAACAGCCCTGTCAGTCAGCGGACCTGCCACTGACGTACGGGTGACCTCGCCTCTCTGAGGATTTGGAGGTTTGAGTGCAGTGGCCCTAAAGCTGCCCAAAGGCGTAGAAAAGTAGGAGATGGCTCCTCCTCCATCAGCTGGCCTTGGGAATCCCCGGCTCAGGCTCAGCTCCGGCCACTGCAGTCCCCTCCAGGGGAAAGAACAATGATTGCTTGGCAACACCTAGAAGGGAGGGCTCTCTGGGAGTGTTAGAGCAGAGATGGGCGATGGTCCCTCTCCTCCTAAGCCTCACACTACATTTACCCACAGCTGACTGCCCCCCCACCGAGCTGTGCTTTTGTACTTTGTGTGTGTGTGTGTGCTTTTGTACTTTCAACACACACACACACACACACACACACACACACCTCACCTTCTGCATAAAGGATGCTACAAATGCCCAGCCGTCAACCAAAATAAAGACTCATTCTAAAGACATGGGGGATGGGAGAAGGGCTGGCCGACAGACTGGGGTCCCCACCCAGACTCTCCCCCTGCTGGTGGTGTGACCTCGGGCGAGTCACTTCCCCTCCTCTGAGCCTCAATTTCACTTGTGAAACTGAAACCCACACCCTTCCAGGGAAGCTTCTTTGCATACCCTCTGTGCAAAGGCGAGAACATGCAAAGTGTCAGCACAGAGCCTCCGCGCGTGCGGATCTGTTCCACGGTGACCGGGTATCTAGCAGTGAGACCTCCGCTGCCCCCACTCCCTCCCTCGGAATCCCCTTACTCTGCCCCCCGCGGTTCTGTGCTGGTTTTAACTACAGGGGAATGCGCTCTGCAGTGGCGACTCCGAGGGGCTAGAGTCCCTAGTTGAGCGGACACCAGAGGGGGGCGCAGCCGGGGGTGCGCGTGGGAACCTGGCCAAACCGAGGCAGCTTGTGCCGCGGAGGCGCTGGGCAGCAGTAAGCTGGGGTGCTCCTGAGAGCACCCCCCACTCTCAGTAGCTGCAGTCTCCACACAACGGTTGGCTCCGGCCGTCGGAAGCCCTGGGGAACCCGGCTCCAGTCCCCACCCCCCACCCGCTGGGCGCCCCAAGCTCCCTCATCAGCGCCCCCAGGCTGGAACAAAGGCGAGGGGGCGCACAGCATCGCCCCAGCGGCCCCTTCACTCATCTGGCCAAAGCCGGGAGAACAAGGATGGGGGTCCCCAAGGTAACCAGGACGCGGTACCCGCCTTCCCGGAGCGCAAAGCCACCCGCCAGGCGCACACGGATATGGGGTCCAGGAAGCACTAGACTCCAGCCCGCTGGACGCCGAGGATTCCAAGGGGGGGGGCTCCCCGGAAGTCCCCCAGCTGGCCCCCCAGGGAGAGGAGCACCCCAGCGCCCGCCTCCCGGGCAGGGCTCCCGGCGTACCTGGCAGGGTCCTGTGCGCCGTGTTGCCCATCGCTGCTTCGGGGCGCGGCGTTGGCAGCGGCGCGCTCAGGGCGCACGAACGCTAATTGCGCGGTGGGCCGGGGACCCGGGCGGAGGGCGGGCCGCCGGACATCGCGGCTGCACGGGCGAGCCTGCCGGCGGCAGCTGGGGCGACCGCCGGGAGGGAGGCGGCGGCGTTGGGAGGAGAAGGCGGAGCCACCGGCCCGGACCCGCCAGCTCCGCCCTCGCCGCCTGCCGCCTCCAACCGCGCAGGGAGGGAGGGGCCGCGGCCGCCGCATCTTTTGAAAGTTTGCACCGGGTGGCGGGAGCGGAACCGCCGCGACTCCCGCTCTCGCCGTTCCCGCGCGCCCGGGGCAGGAGGGCGCGCCGGGCAGCTGGGTGCCCTCTGGGTGCCGGGCTTGTCAGCATGCTGACCTTGCACTCATTCAGTCCAATAGTTTGAGAAGCCCTTCTGTGTGCCAGCCCCTCTTTCAGGCGCCGGGCCACAGGGGGCCACGCCTTAGCCCCCAAGGAGTACATATGCGGGGTTCGGGCGGGGAAAGGACGCACACACAGGCAGAAGGTCACCGCGGACAATGTCCGAAAGGGCTTGAGGCGGACAGTCCAGCCGGTGACTGGGCAGTGGGATCACGTTCCTACAATTAGAAGAGACTTCGGCAGAGTCCAAAGGTTGGGATGAGGGACCCCACATTCATGAATCCACTCACGCATTCAAATATGTTTTTAAAACTATATTTTTATTGATTTCAGAGAGGAAGGGAGAAGGAGAGAGATAGAAACATCAATGATGAGAGAGAATCACTGATAGGCTGCCTCCTGCACACCATGGATCGAGCCCACAACCATGACCTCCTGGTTCATAGGTGGATGCTCAACCATTGACCTACACCTGCCCGGCTTTCATTAAAATATTTATTAAGCGCTGGCCGGTTTGGCTCAGTGGATAGAGCTTTGGCCTGTGGACTAAGGGTCCCAGGTTTGATTCTGGTCAAGGGCACATGCTTGGGTTGTGGGCTCAATCTCCAGTAGGAGGCAGCCGATCAATGTTTCTCTCTTGTCATTGATGTTTCAATCTATCTCTCTCTCTTTCCTCTCTGAAATCAATTTTTTTTTTAAATTGAGCACATCTTATGTTCCAGGCTCTGTGCTGGGCACTGCAGATCCAAACAAAGCATGCGTAGTGGTGAAGACAGAAATAAGCCATTAACATCACAAGGTAATGATCATAGCCAGAAAGAAAAACAAAACAAGAGTGATGGGGTGACTTCGGGGACTCGGGGAGAAGCTGGGGGCGTGTCAGCTCCATCTGATGGACAATAGGCATCGGCATGGGAAGAGCTAGGGAGCGGCCGCAGAGGGAGTAACACATTCCTCCTTCATTCATTCACCCACAGGTATTTGGGAGCACCCCTCCTGCCTGTGCAGGAGCCCACACCACACTGGGTGGGGAGGGAGGGAGGCCTGCTAGCTCCTGCCCTCACTGGGCTCCATTTTGCAGATGGGAACACAGGCGACCCAATTCCAAACCAGCCTCCCTCCCCCCTTGGCTCTACTTTCCATGCTCTCGTAGCCCTTACGACCTTATGAAATGCCATTACCCCCACTTCCCAGATAGGCAGTAAGGCTCACAGTGGATAAGAGGTGCCCAAGACTCCCCCGCTGGTAAGGGGAAAGGCCGGCCTGGAGCTGTGTGAAGAAGGAGGGTACCCTGGAGAGAGTGCCCCTCCCCCGCACCTTCAGCTCAGTTTGTTGGTGTCCTTTGCCAGGAGTGCCTGAGCCAGCCCAGAAGGTTCTCCTTCTTTAAGATCAGCTCAAAGCCTCCACCTCCAGGAAGCCCTCGGTATTCCCCACCAAGTCCTGACTCATCATATGTCTGATACTTGGGCATATACACAAGTTGCTTTACCCCTGAGGTCCCAGTGCACCCTCAGGGCAGGTTTTGTAGCCGTCACCCCTCTGTGCTCTCCACTGGCACATGGGAAACTTCCTGAGGGCAGGACCAGGCTGTTTTCTTTCTTTCTTTTCTTTTTAATTTATATTTTTATTGATTTTAAAGAGGAAGGGAGAGGGAGAGGGAGAGAGATAGAAACATCAATGATGAGACTGAATCATTGATCAGCTGCCTCCTGCACACCCCCCACTGGGGATCGAGCCTGCAACCCGGGCATGTGCCCTTGACTGCAATTGAACCCGGGACCCTCTAGTCCGCAGGCCAACGCTTTACCCACGGAGCCCAACCAGCTAGGGCCTGGCTGTTTTCATTTACGAATCCCAGTGCCCAGCACAAGACTGACATACACAGGGACTCAATACACATTTGAATAAACTGACACAGAGATAAGTTGCTCTGAACTGGGAGAAGCAAGGAAAGGAGGGAGGAAGGTGGGGTGATGAGAAGAAACGGGGAGGAAAGAGTTTAAAGGAATGCGTTTCCGTTGAGAGTCGCCTGGGACTCTGGTATGGTCAATAGTGACATGTGCTGGGAGAGACACAGCAAGCAAACAGGAACACTTACACAGAAACATAGTCTCTAGAACAAGGTGCAGGTGGCGTTGGGAGAAGGGGATCCCTGTCACAGGAGGGGTGCAAATGGCAGCAGGGGCACACTGGGCTCGGGCAGCAGCCTTCAGCGAGAACCCCTCCCAGCTTTGACTTCCACCCCCCCACCCTTAACCACATCCAGAAGCGCACAGACTGTGCCACCCTTCCTTGGCACCAGGACTCATGCTTGGATTGCAGGGGCCCCTGGGTGGGGCTGACTCTTGATTGTGTAGTGTTGGCACAGTCTCCCATGGCAGTGGGTAGAGGGAAGGGCCCTGGCAGGGCTCCCTGGCACTGCTCTCCCGGGGCATGCCATGGCAGGCCCTGCCCCTGCGATACCAGGCGGTCAGGTGCACCTTGGAAAAAGGGTGCGCGCTGAGCTGAGGGGGATGAGCCCCGCTGACACCTGGTGAAAAGACCCTTCCTCAGGGCAGGGATTGTCCACCTTTGTCATCTCGTGGCACACACACATTAATTACTAAAATTTGCAGTGCACCAAAAAAATATATTGTCTGCCCAGCTGGCGTGGCTCCGTGGTTGAGTGTTGACCTATGAACCAGAAGGTCACGGTCAATTCCCAGTCAGGGCACATGCCCAGGCTCAATCCCCAGTAGGGGGCGTGCAGGAGGCAGCCAATCTATAATTCTCTCTCAATGATGTTTCTATTTCTTTCCCTCTCCCTTCCTCTCTGAAATCAATAAAAATATATTACATTTATATATATATTATCTTTTTCGCCAAAAAATGGGTATAATTTGATTCATTCATACAGGACAGCTGTTACTGTGTTGGGTATTATCATTCTTTTATGTGATAATCCAAGTGCCCCCGACTAAATAGTCAGGTATTGCATGTTTTAGAAGTTCTTGCGGCCTTTTCAACAGGGTGCCTGCCGGGACACACCGGTTGAAAATGCTGCACCAGGGAACCCAAAGGCGTTTGTTCGTCTCCTCCCTGTAACTCGAGAACCAAGAATCCAGGCTGCAGACAAACCACAAAGCTCAGTCTTAAAATTGCTACAGGAGGGCTCTTCTTTTCAGCAAACCCTCGATTTCCAAACCCAGCGGGTCTTCACCCGCAAAAGCAATAGTTTTCAGTTCCTGGTGACAAAGTGCCAAGCATGTAGCGGGCACCAGGCGGTCACGGCCTAGCAGCATGGTGATTAACACAGTTCTCATTTTGCAGGCGAAGAAACCGAAGCACAGAGAAGAGGCAGGAACTGCCAAGTTCACAAGAGAAGGCCATTTATGCCCTAATCCCAGGTGTAAAGATAAGTGTCCTCTCCTTTCTCCCTCCTCCCCGCAACCATCCCTGGCCCCCACTTGCTCTGCCATCACTGATCCCTTAACTGGGTGAAATCTCAGCAGGGCTCTTTAAACGCCATCCCAGGACCGTGGCTGGGGCGTCCACTCTGCCAGGCCCAGGGGACAACGGGATGAGCAGCCTCTCTAGTTGAGTCACCAGCAAGCAGTCCCCATCATACCCCAGCCAGTCGGAGAGACTCAGTCAGTCCCGGTGAGGTGGAGAGAGCTGGGGTCCTGGGCCAGCGCCTGGGAGGGAGCTCCCCGCTTCTCCCCGAGGCCCAAGAGCTCCTGCAGATGGACCATCCATGGAAACTCAACACCCGGGAGTGCCTTCTGGTTCAGAGACATTTCCCCTCCGTGGCCTCTTTTCATCTTCGTGGGGCCTTTCTGTCCATGTCACTGATGGAGAAACTCAAGCTCAGAGAGGTAGAGGATTCGCCCATGGTCACACAGCTGGGTGCCGTGGACTCCGGCCTGTCCTGGGAGCCCCACAGCTGGGTCCCACATCTCTCTAACCCCTCCCCTGCAGGGAGCAATGGCCCCTTAGGCCCAGAGGAAGGAGTCCATGAGAAGAGGCGCAGTGTCTCAGAGAGCCACCAGCATCCTCCATCCGCCTGGGGTGGTTACGATCGAGAGGCCTGGAGGCAGGGTGCTTGGGTTCGAATCCCAGCTTGGGCACCGGCTGCCTGTGACCTCGGGCGGAGAGGGCTGTGAGGACTGAATGAGCCGATAGTCCTGAAGTGTTTATACAAGTGTCTGGTGATGGTTCTTAAGAAACACAGGCCCCACGAAGAGCCATGGCTGCAGGTTCTAACTCCTGCTTTTAAAGGCCTTATAAGCTTCTGTGCACATTCTTTGAGTCTGGAATCCACTTCTAAGAACCTCTCCTGAGGACGTAATCCCAGCTGAGCAGGGACTAAGCGAATAAATGCCCAGAGATGCTGGTTACATCCCAGGACAGCATCGTCAAGTCACACTCACTCCTACCACAGGGAAATGCTCCGTAAACAGGTGTCACTCAGAGCCTCACCGAGCTCCTGGGCTGCTGCTTCCAAAGACTTCAGAGTAACAGGAGAGAAGGCTTTTGTTTTCATGCTAAGTGAGAAAGGCCGGACAGAGAACTCTAAACTCAGAACGAGGTCAGGCTTATAAAAACAAAACAAGCAAATACAAAATGTGTATAGAAAACAAGACGAAAGAAAATGCATGGGCTATGGCCAATCATGATCTCTGAATAAGAGAAATATGGGTGTGTTTCCCCCCTTTTTCTATCTGTTGGCAGTTTCT